AGAGAGAGAGAGAGAGAAAGAGAGAGAGAGAGAAAAGCTTCCGAAGAAAGCATATTAACAGAAAGTTTTGTTCTATTTCATTACGCGCGACATCACATTTATACGATTAATCAGGAAAGATACACGTGTAACGTGTATTGTATGGCGCGTCGGTTCGATCGTTCCTCTTACTACTACCGTTCAGTGAAACGAGTCTTGGCTGGTCGAACGACGATAAATTGCTTCGCTCGAAGAAACGTGTGTATACAAGGTTGCGAGATATACATGGTGATTCTCTAGTGAGTGGAAATTAAAAATAACCTAATTTCCAATGTCTGTGAGTATTACTTTTGACAAATCTTAGAGTTTAGATGATTGTTGTTGAAATGAGTGATGGGCAAAATTTAATAATTGAAGTTACTTCGACAATTTGTTTGTTCAAAACATAATAATAAATAATAATAATATAAAGTGTAGTGGCAAACGGTTGAGGTTATATGAAAAGCTACGATCAATTATAATAGCTTCTAGAATAAATGTTATTCGAGCATTTTAACGAGCAATTACTTAAAGTAAACTTTATTTTTAATTAATTACTTTCTCAACGTTAATGCTTTTCAACGTTCTGGTTGAAATCGAAATTTCGAGAGAATTAATTTGTAATTTGGAAAGAAAGTATATGGAAGAAAATTGCGACAAGACTTTGCAGAAGAAGAGTAACCTACTGTGCCTGTACAAATCCTCCAAGAAGGCGTTGCAAGTTTCGCAGTTGAGGGTGCAATGAGGCCTACGGACTTCGAGTAAGGGACTGACCGCCCTTCGAGGACTGGCCCCGCCGTCGGGACTGGTGCCCGGCATCGTGGGCAAAGTTAAACTACTCGTGCTCGACGTATTGCTTCTCTCCGCCATTTCCTCTCCTTTTTTTTTCTATCTATCCCGATCACCAAACCATGTTTCTATCCATCATCCATTCAAAATTTTCCACTTTCTTTCTTCTTTCTCTCTCTTTCTCTCGCCATACATTCCCTCCTCACATTTTCTTCTTCATTCTCGCTATCCGTACACGCGCTTTATCGTGATATGAAACATGAAAAAAAAAAAAATGTAAAGATTAAATTCTACTTCGATGTTTAAATTCTAATGATCGAGAATATAAAAGGCGATTATTTCTATCGTATTACACACGATTTTCTTTTCTTTTTTTTTATTTACGACTATTTCCCATCCCTTTTTGAACAAAATCGCGTAAAAGGAATAGAATAGTTCCGTAATAAACGAGTAAATAAAACCGATATTACTTTCTCGCTTTTACGCAACCCATTGTTTTCGCTCGTTTTCGTGTCCGAGGAAATAGCGTAACGAATTCCACGTACAAAAGAAAACGATCGTTTCAACGCTTCGTAACCGTTAATCGTAACCGTTTTACAAAAGAAAGAAAAAAAAATATTCGATACAATCTAATTCTCGCTTCACGCCAATGAAAACGAATAATTCCCAGCCATCACCGAGTTATATTCCGTTTATAGTTTTCGTTCCGTACGAAGTAATCAATTAATCGTCGGATCACTGGATACGAAATCAGGGTAATTGGGTTCGAAAAAGCGGGCACAGGGGGAGAGAGATGAGTAGACGAGAAAGAGAGGGAGGGGGGGAGAGAGAGAGAGAGAGAGAAAGTCACAACAAGGGCGCGGAGGGGGAAGAGAGTGTTGTGGAAGGGCGGCAAGAAGGGGGTGTAGGAGTCGAATATCGAGCAAAAAGGAAAATCGGGCCGCGTAAATGGAACGGTCGAGCGATTGGTAAACACAAGCGCGTAGTCGGACGCAGGCATGCAGCCACGCAGCAGCAGCAGACACGCAAACAATCGAGGCACGCAGCCACGCAGAAAGGCACACGCGCGCGCGCCACACACACACACACATAGACACACGCACACGCGTCCTTCCTCGAAGGGTTGACACGGTTAATTAAACCATGGTGGTGGTCAGACCGACTTAACCGAGGTCCTGACCCCACGGTTCGCCGTACCACAGAATATTCTCTAGTGTCTCTCTCTCGAATTTCACGTGTCGTCGTCACACACGATCCTCCTCTTCGTATCCATATACGAGAAAAACAAGGTCGAAACGGTGGAAGAGAGTGAGAAAGAAAGAGAGATAGAGATAGAGAGAGAGAGAGAGAAAGAGAAAGAGAGAGAACGTGGTTAACGTGGATTCGGGAGAAAGGGAGGAGGAAAACGGAGAAGCGACGAGGAAGCACGCGCGTGGCGAAGGCCGTGGTACGTTCCAGGACGCGTGAAAGCTTCGACTGAGCTTTCAACCCCGGTCTCGAAACGTTCCCAGCCTACTTGTGGCACGTTCCATCCTTTCATCGATCCTGGCGTCCGCGAAAACCGAGGTTGCGAATGCTCGTAAACTTCGTTACCGATTGATCCGACCAGGCGTCATAACTCCGTTCCAACCAGCCATTTTCCCTTCTCCTACGAGCCGCCCGTCCTCCGTCTCGTTTCGTTTTTATCGTTTCTCTCGTTGTACCCACCCGACCACCACCATCGCGTCGTCGCGACGTGTCGCATCGCGGTCGATACGAAACTACTGCTCTTAGAAACTCCCTTACCGATCGTTCGCTCGATCGGTCGGTTGATTCTTTTTTTTTTTTTTTTTTTTTTTTTTTTCTTTTTTCATAGTTAATTCGGTTGAAAAAGTAAAGAAGAAGGAATATACGTGTATGCACGTACGCGAGATTACTCGAATATATTGAATATACTAGAAAAACATATGTGAATATATAAAAAACATATGCGAAGACTTACCTTGGGGAGAAAAGTTGTAATCGTCGCCCAAGTAAAATGGTCCCTGGCGTACCACGATCTCGTGAACGATTATGGCGAAACTGTACACATCGCCCTTCTGAGTGCCCTCGGGTGGCCGCCTTTCCACTCGCAATAATTCCGGTGCCGTCCACAGCTGCCCTGTTCAAACAAGAATATTTTAAGGTCGCGACCCTTGCTACATTCACGCGCCTGCACGATAGTGTACAGATCTGCTTGAAAAATATATATATACAGCTAAACAACCGGCCAGTGTGCACAGAGGGAACGAAAAAGAGACAAAGGTGTGGTTGTGACACGATCAGTTTGACCCGGTTCCTTTGAACGCGACTCTCTTTACACCCACCCGCTTTATCCCTTTCCCCCTCGATTTATTCCAATAAATGAATTCGGCTCGAAACACTCGCTCACCCTTCCAAAACGCGTAATTGTTCTTTTCGACTTCCGCCCCGCAGTAAGTAGGCCTCCTCAGCTCGTGCAATCCAAAGTCGGCGATCTTAAGGACGAAGCGTGAATCGACCACGCAGTTGGACGATTTCAGATTCCCGTGGCTCTTCACCTCGGACGCGTGAAGATACACCATCCCTCGCACGATATCGTGGATCAACGATCCACGGAACACTCGATCCAATTTGATCTGCTCGTTTTCTAATATATCCTGTTTTCCAAGGGGGAGGAAAATATCGGCCATTAAAAGTCGGGTTGAAATTCATTCTCATCAGTGGAGAGACTCGGATGGATATTAGAAGAGGGAAGGAGCGGAAAAAACTTTAATCTCGGGAATTCGATTAAATTTTTAATCGAGCTCGATAACGAATGCATGCCGCGGACGCGGGGGCCACACATCGACCTCGGCCAAAGTTAATCCCATTTCCATC